GTTACGTATCCAAATTGCAAAATAATTATAATCTAAAACATAGAGGTAAATATAATATTATATTTTACAAATATATTGCATGATATTAGACAGCAATTAGTGTATGCTAATAAAAAAAAACAGCGGCCAATAAAAGACTTTTCTTTTATATTGTGGCTTATAGTGTGATAAGTTGGAAAAAATAATAAGACTTAAAATCGGCCTCACTAAACTTAACTAAGTCTTACTGAAAAATAGTACATTCTAATCAATACCCATAACATTTATGCCCTATTAGCGGGACGAATGGATAAAATCACTGATACTGATAGTTCGACCTTGGTTCAAATCTCGGCGAATGGGCTGGCTGTACAGGAGGTTTCGTGATTTTTCCCTTGCTTAACGTGAATACCAACCAGTTTCCTTTAGAAAGCCTACCTCAAAGACATCCCTTCCCCTTTGCCAAATAAGCCTATGAAAAAACTTGACGCCTTCGAGATAATATGTTTTAACCATTCCTGAATCTAATCTGATGAACTTTACGCTGTGAATGGCATGCTCCGAAACTATAAAACAAGTGCTTGATGTCATTAAAGATCTTCAAGGATTAATTAACGAAATTTTAACTGAAACTGAGATAGATGGTTTGGTTTATTTGATTACCGACAAACTCGCTACGGTTATCTGGAACTTTCTTAAGGAAACTGTCTCGTATCCATATCATATATGGGGAAAATTACGAAAACATCAAGCAGCCATCCTGTTTGTTTGGAAGCGAACTACTAGTCTTAGCAATTTTACCACTGGACTGCTGCTGGGCACATGAATAAGCTGAAATATCAATTTTATTGTGGAGTTTCTTTAAAGTAGTAGATTATCTGAAATGCTATTAATAGAATGTAAAGAATCATGTTGCCCTGTAATTTATTTTCAAATATATTAAAAAATATAATAAGTAATAACATCCTGTTTTACAAAAAGAAGAGGAAAATGTATATTAATATACATAGCGTAACGGCCGGAGTCGTGGTAATTTATTGGTCGCAGCTGTTTTGTGCTTTCGGTGTTGGAGGGTTTGCTCTTGACAAAATCTGTAGGTCAAACCAGAAGTGCGATGCGAGATACCGCGTGGCCTTCGGGACAGAACTTGAGTCCATTTTAAGGGAGTGAAATACTTTACCTCGTCACAAAAGAGGTGACGTGGTAGAGTATTTCACAAAGACTTGAATTCAAGTAATTCATTTCTCTCAAACTGGTGAGCATTGTTTACCTTCGCATGCCACTATAATAATTATTTCATTACTTTTACGTATTGAATGACAAATCATTCTGCTTAAGCTTGAAATAAGGCAACAAAATATAACATTTAAATAAAATTAAGATGGAAAAATTATATTTCCTGTGACTTTAAATAAAAGCTTACTTTGGTTTATTTTACTATAGTAAAGCAAACGAAGACTATCTGCCTAAGGGAAGGGATGCCTTCGTGGAGGACATTCTAAAGCAAATGGACGTTACACTATGGAGGTAGGAAGTAAGATGGAGTAGCCCTAAAAAGGTTTCTCCCGTACCCTGCTCTGAAGCACTGGCGATCCCTATGTGGTGACCAAAACATTAGGTCATTTACCATTAAGTTCAATGGGTTTTGACGCGATCGGATGTAAATATTTTGTAATTACGTCGTAAATATACATATAAATGTATATATTTTCTTTTTCTACAACACTTTAGAGTCCTAAATATATGAAAACAACATTTCATTCTGAACGGAATTAAATGCTATACTTTTCACAGAATAGTTTTCTTAGAATGGTCTAATTTGAATGAAATATTTTCGCAAGTTTTCGTTAATTACATTAGAAACAAAATTTAAGGTAATTCGATTTGATTCGGATAAGGTACAAAAATTAAGATCAAAGTTTATTGTATTATTAATATTAAAATTATGCATTATTTCTTTTCTATTTATACTCTTCCTAAAATACTTTCTTAAATATGACATGATTTTTTTGGCTTCTGAGGCATATTTTAAATCGAAAAATATAAGTCAATTTATAATTAATGCTCTATTCGGTTCATTTTAAATTAGAGAATTATTAGAAATTAGCGAAATACTTTAAATAGCACTTAACTTTCTCTGAACATTTCTGAAAGGGAATAAAATAAGGATTTTATTTTTAACTAACCCAAATAAGTAAAACGTGTAAGCTCAAAGTGATTATTTTTCAGATATATAAAATTTAAAAGATGAGTTTAAAATGAGCAACAGTAAAGCTTCTCCTCTAAAAAAATTTAAAAGGTACATGTTACAATAATATATATGGATGTGAAAAAAATTTATTTTATTTAAAACATTTCGGCGTTTGGAACATAAAATAAAAGTAGCGAATACTCTATGAAGGGTATCGAAAGACGTATACAATTTTAAAGGTACCGTAAGGTATTTTTCATTCTTTAAGAATAACATTTTTGTTAACATCTATATTTTTGTAGTTCAACAGCTTAGAATTTTATAAAACAAATTCATAATCAAAATCGCTGTTAGGTATCGAAAAATAACCAAGATGTGATTTTTGCGTAAATGTCACTAAACTATACAAATTGCTATTATCCATCGCACTATGAATGTTTCTTCATGCGAAAGTGTCCCTTTTTCGATTTGTATGGAACTGTCGTGTGTCGAAATACTATCAGAACACTGTCAAGCGAGCTTCTGAATGTAAACAAAGAACACCCCATCTGGTGAAGCTTCGAAGCAGTGCTTCACTTTTAGTGCCGGTTGGCCACTCCTTCCTTTCTTACCTCCATGAACACACGGGCAAAACCACGAAAGCGCCCATGCAGCAACCGTTCGCTGGAATTCAGCTTATTCCATGTGCCCAGCAGCAGTCCAGTGGTAAAATCGCTAACACTAGTAGGCTCACTTCCAGAACAAACAGGTTGGCTGCTTGACGTTTTCGTAATTTTCCCCATATAGAATTTTACCGCATACGTATTTAGAATTTTACAGCCGTAGCATAATCAAGTGGTAATCTTTGGCACCATACCAAACCCTCGAAGCTTAATTTTTATAACCTTTTATTTAGTTAACTCATGGTGTTTCACTATGGGTTGAATTTTTTCATCGATTCTTAAACCACTTTCTGATAAATTATCGAGTTACCTTGCTCGATGAGCCCCGTTTTTTTATTCTTATATGTTATTAAATTGTACAATTTTTGTTTTAAAAGTATTCGAATTTTGTTCTTATGTTCTTATTAAAGTTTTTATGCCTTTAGTTAATCTGCATGCAAGAGTTGTAGAATTATCAATAATTTAAATGTGTAGGTGGCGCTAGGTCTAACATGGGGGTTGTTTGTTTACATTTGAAACTCTTAGTAGTATAGTTGTAGAGAAATTACGTTATTTGTGGAAGCAGAAGAGATGAAAAATTAGCAACGCCTTCGCCGGGAATCGAACTACAGATCTCTGGAATACACGCCTAGCGTGCAGACCACCATACCACGAAGACATGCCAAGAAGGCGGGAGAAATACCTTATATACTCCCCCCTTTTTTTTAAAGGGCGACTGGGGTTTTTAGGGAACCCAATCGCCAAACCCCGGGTGGGGAGAATCATCATCCAAAACCCTTTTTAGTTCAGGCACCACTGTAGAGACAAATTATAATTTATATTTGGAAAAATTATAAATAAGTTATATTTGGAAGCAGAAGAGATGAAAAATTAGCAACGCCTTCGCCTAAAATCGAACCACGGACCTCTGGAATACGAGCCCAACGTGCAGACCACCACACCACGAAGGCATGCCAAGAAGGTGGGATAAATACCTTATATAGTGAAATAAGTCAGTTGGTGCACTAATTTCAGTATCTTTTCTGTCCAATGGGACCAGAAGTTAAAGTCGCATATTTTTTTTTTTTTTTTTTCCACCAAAGTTTTGTCTTCTTACCAGTTGGCCGAATTGCTTGTTTTCGTGTAGAAACTCTATTTTTAATTGTAAAAATCGTTTTTTTAATTGTATCTGATATTTTAGGTTTTTCTGTATTTTACAATTTTTAATAAATATGTTCCGAGTTTTTATATTTTTTTCTTGCCGCAAAATGAGAATTGTATTGATTGAATGAGAAATATATTTCTTATGGAATTCGAGGAAATATATTCAAACGAAGTGCAACAAAATATATGTATAATTTAATAGGAAGTCCTATGGTGTCCGCATCATACTTTTTTTTCGTTTCAGCTTCGAGTAAAGTGCTCGTTGTAATGATGCTATTACATCCAGTTTCCGAAAATAAATATTCAAAGCGATTTTTTATTCTGTGAATGAAATTCAGTTATTTTTCTTTATTCCATAATATTTTATTCCATAATATATCCCATAATATTCCATAATTTATTGCTTGTGTTTTAATAATGACTAAAAATGTCGTCATAGATAGCGTGTACTTGAGACTAAAAAACAAGAAATAATGCAATTAAAAGATAGATTTTTACAGAAAATTTTATTTAAAATGGTATGACAATTACTACACCAAAAGGAGAAAAATTATCGTATAATTTAATAAGAATAATGGCTTAAATTATTCTATTTATAGAATTCATCACAATTTTATACCGCGAATAATGATCGCAAACGCAAACCTCTATATGGTGAATGATATGCAAAATGGTGAACACCTGTATTAATTTGGAAATAAACTGAACGCCTGTATTAATTTGATATGCACGTTTCACGTAATGAATTCTTTTATTTTTTATAGGGATGCATTTAATATTTTTTCTTATTTATTTTTTATGAATAATCGGATTTCATATAATTAGTTTTTTGTGCGACAGTGGATTCTAAAACTTTAGCTTCATCGGTGTCAAATTTTGATTGTAAAATCTGTTGTTTCTTATATATGATGCTAGATCTAGACGTTGCACATCCGTTTCAAATATGTGCTACTCTGTTCAGCAGATCAAGAGCGATATCAAAGAACACTCCTTGCGTGGTTTCCGCACAAAATTTTTCTGTTCCTTTCTTAGCAGGAAGTTGATATTTCCTGCAATCATTTTTCGAACGTTGGGTATTATAACAGTGCCAGTAGGAATCAAAAAGAGCAATTTAATTTTGCATATCATAATGTTAGAATTTTTGCTTTTATTACCTTTGATTATGGTTAGTATTTTGACTATGACTTTTCAAGTATCTGTAGACGAATTAACGAACGCAAGCCTAGGAAGTTATTTTTATTATGGGAAATATGACGATGATAGATACCGGGAATTACATAAAGAAGTAAGTGCATACATACTTTTTTCTTAAGAACGTAGATTATATATTTTACTGTGTAATTTACGTAATCATTTCAAAAACATTTGCAAAGTTATGGCCAGAATCGCAGGATTTTTATTTATTATATTATGTGCTCTTTATTTACAAAATCAATGGTGTGCACAAATTAGGAGAGGTGAGAGAGCTATTTCAAAGTGTGTAAGTTCTAGTAATGTGCTTTTCAGTATTTTAACTTTATTATGTGTATAGCTGTATAATAATTACACTAACCATTAATGTGGTGTAGTAATAAAACTATTATACTGATTCGATGTTTATTTCCTATGTTCTTTTGAAAATCATAACATATAAATTATATGTGTAATCTAATAATTAAAAATTATATCAAGGTAATTTATCATTCATTATACGAAGCAAATTTATTTAGTTTTCGCTTGTGTGGTATTTAGATGTTTTATCTTTCTTGCAGACGGCTGTAACATATAAACGTTATGTTATGTGAACTTTTCTTCTTTGCCTTGTAAAATATATTAGAATTTGGAAAAAATTTAATATTCAGTCTAATATGGTATTTTATGTTTATTAAATCAGATTTTGTTTAATGAAAACTCATTTGTAATGTAACATTGCATGTAAAATAACGCAGTGATTCCCAAACTGTTTTGATTTTTGGTACAGTGGTTTATATTTCATAAGGTACAGCTGCAAGGCCCTTCAACCGTGGCGATGGGTAGTTCGATCCGGGTTAACCTTTTCGAAAATCTCCCACCTTTTAAGCAGATAGCCCTAAAGGATGGGATACCTTCTTGGAATACGCTAAAGTACAACAATATGTGATTTTCCGTATTCGAATGCCAACGGGCTGACTGCATGGCGTTTTCGTGGTTTTCCCCACGTGTAATGTGGATACGAACCAGCTTCTCTTAGAAATTGGTGAGATGGCATATCGTTTCCTAGGCATATAGCCCTCGTGTGCTTTGCCATAACTAAATAAACCTAACGAGCCTTATTTCAATTACTATAACCAGGCACAGTTGCAAAATTTCGTGACACCTTGTAGGGTTTCCTTTATTTCAACTAACGTATTATTCAAATTTTTGTTATCTTTTCTTAACTCCTCAACTTCCCCTCGCATTTCCTCGACAAGATGTAAATTTAAAGTTAAGTGAGTATTTAAACGGGTGAATCTTGGAGTTTATTCAGAGCGTGTTTTCGCTAGCCAGCACACATTTCGTTTCTGACCTTGCTGTTACGCTGATACGCCTTTTGGTCATTTGAATAATTATTACGCCTGTTAGGTTGTCGAGTCAATTAGCCGTAACTTAAAAGTGCTAATCCAGCACTGTTCGTTTTAGACTTGAATATATTTGTGTTACAAATTCTTAGTTTCCACCGCAAGTTGTCGTTGTTATTGTAAAGCACGAAGTACAGGCTTTTCTGTTCATTGTTGAGATTAATAAAGGCTTATTTTCACTCTTCTTCTGTTCTGGTATTACTTCATGCCTGTGCGATAAGTCATCAGGTTCATTAGTAAGATGTAGGCTAGTTTATGTGGCCAAAAAGAGGTAGATCCTATAACCTCTTTTAACTAAAATCGTTTGATAAAATTCTGTTAACTCTCCAAAATCGAGCATTAATTTGTAATATTTCTCGAAATAAATCAATGATATTCATTTATTGCAAGGTGTAATATTAGCTACTGAGTAATTTGCAAAAATAGCAGTTACTCCTTCGAGTGCAGTTATTGATGAATAATGGTTTATCATCCAAAGAGATCGTAACCAAATTTTGGGCAGAAATGTTTAAGTTTCCTAATAAATTAAAAAGAAATATTTTGCAGTATTAGTATTATTTGAAAGTGATGGTAAAAACTCATGATTAATTGTTCAGTGGGTATCGAGCAATCTCGAATGTGAAGGTAATGGTTTGGTGAAACTGATGATGATGTACTACTTTAATGAAATATGGGAAGTCCTTGAAACCTCTCACAAATACCATATTTTTCAACCTAGCTTTTTAGCACCGGGTTCTGAATTTTTTTCAAATATTACGATAATTTTCCCCTTTCTCAGTGATTCAAAATATTAAAATTTTAAATCACCTCATTAAAATCAATTAGCTTTTCAAAATTTTAAAATCAAAATATTAAAAGCAACTTTATTCAGAATATTGTAAGGATTTGCACATGGGGCGTTTACAAAAGATTACACATGTAAATATATACTATCCGGTTGGCCTAGACTAATGTTTTCCGTTTTAAGAAAGCCCACCAATGACCAGAGGTTGAAGATTACTGAGCACTGGTACTTTGAGTGGGGCTTGGCGAAAAGCGTGGCTGCATATAAGCTTCTCCCATCATTTATAGCATAAATGCCAGCCAATTACTGTATTTGTCCTCTATAGAATTTTAGCGTCAGCTTCTGAAAATTTAGAAAAGTGTCGCGTAATTTTCCCTTTCCTAAGTGTGTTCAAAGAACAAGCTTCCCTAAATTTTAAAATGGATTCGTCCACGGAGTGAATTTTTTCGTCTTGCTGACAAAAACAAACCCTCGTGAATTTCCTGCGAAGGTCCCGCCGAACCTTACCCTTTTAAATGCTAAACTTTATGCCAGCCAAAACAAGAACCGATCTGTCACAACGAAACAAATAAGAACAGACATTCAGGCTTCGATTTCGTTGAATCATCTACATATTCATCTTCTCTAATTAACTGTGGATGATTTGAGGAGTAATGAGTAGCACAGACAGCATTAAGAACAGGGAGATTCGACCTTCAGGTGAGTGGACATGAAGGCGATATCTTATATTAGACATTGTTATTTTAATATAACTACGTATTCTTATTGGAATGAAGGTTTCTTTAAAAAAATGATATTGTGATAATTAGCTGTAACTATTATCGAACTTTTCGGAAATTAAACTACTATTCCCATAATTTTTCTCTTCCCGTTTCGGACGAAAAAAATAGTAAAAAAGGAAGAAAAAAAAAGGGGGGGGAAACTAGGTGAAGAAATATGGTAGTATGTAGAATTAGCGATTTTTAAAATAAACCAGAAAGCTGTGCGATGAATTAATAGTAGCTTTATTCCATAGAAATCTTCAGGTATGAGCATATAGAGTAAATATGTGTCTTCATTTAAAAATTTCATGACTGCATTAGTGTAAGTTATTTTGTTTAAAGCAATATTATGGATTTTATTGTATTGAATAGCTGTAAAGTAAGTACTTGGATTAGAATGAAGTAAGTACTTGGATTAGAATGAAGGTAAAACCATTATTCCCATTAAGACTGGAAATTATTGTTATTGACATTAATATTCGAAATGAAATAAAATGATAGTTTTTTCTTTATTTCAGAACTTTTGTTCTATTTATACATTTTCTGTCTTGGGGGATTCGAATATAACGCTTTCCCGATGTTTATCTTCTGAAAAATTATGGAAATGTTAATTGTGGGATTAATATTTGCTTTGAGAAGATTATTGGAATGAATTATACTGAATTAGGTTTGCGTAGCATAGGACCGACTGACTACAATCAGGACGTCAAAGGCTAATATTATATGTAAGTTTAAAACCCCAGTTCTGAAACTTTCGGAAAAGCGTCGAGTGAGGATCTGGGCGTTGGGCATAATAATGACAAATAAATTAGAGCGGAAAATAATCCTATATTACATGAAATTTTAACTATTTAATTTTGTAGTATATTTTTAAGTACCCTCTTCCCTCCATTTATACTGTAGGATTCCTGTTGCAACTGGGTGTTAGAATTTAAGTTCTGCGGACTTACTAGACGGATAGTGTGTTAACGATACGTCTTAAATAAGTAACTAAATACTAAAAAAGGTTAAAATAACCTTTTTTTTATTAAGTCTTAAATTGAACAGTATGGATGCAACTTGTGCTACAAACGAAACTTCACCACTCGTGGGTATTTAATTAACATAATAGACCAGGGCTTCCCAACCTTTTTGTCGCTAAAAGCACATTCTAGAATATCTCTTGGACAGCGGGCACCATTTACTTTTCAAGGTGAATTTGTAGTTGGACATGCAACATAAAAAAAAAGAGATCGATCGTATTTCGCTTTGTGCTGGTATCTGTGTTGGACGCAATTTTTAGTTCATTAAAAATGGGAAAACTTTCACGTAGAATTTTATTGAAAACTAAAACATTTTTATTGTAATCGTACAGCTGCGGGTACACGTTAAACAATCGGCGGGCACCGCGGGCATAGGGTTGGAAACCCCTGTAATAGACCTTTAAATTAAATGTTGATAGCGTAGTGTAAAAGACTACACACAAAATAAACTAAATTAAGCTGTCTCAGAATTTTATCGGCGCGAATTTTAAAACATCTGCGAGCGAGATTAATTTTAAGCAGGGCTTGCCAGAATAACTAATAGCAGACGCGATTGCCAGAAGCTCTAATCGGCTTAAATACACAAAAACTCTCAGCTTAAATATACAAAAACAATGCACAAATACAATACACAACACTTAAATGCACAAATGTTATATTTGAATTCTGGCGGATTGGATTGGATTATTTAATTATGGCAAAGCACACGAGGGCTATCTGCCTAAAGGGTGCCTTCGTGGAGGACTTTCTAAGGGAAACTGGCTCGTATACACGTTACACATGGGGAAAACCACGAAAACGCCCATGCAGCCAGCCCGTTCGCGGGATTCGAACCTCAGACCGAACTACCAGTGTTCAGCGTCTTTACCGCTCGGCTGCTGGTGGGCCTATTAAAAATTGTAAGAATTCAGAAAAACATAAAAACACCAAATACAGTTAAAACAGTTAAAAAAGCAATTCTTACAGACAAATTCAGAGTTCCTAAACAAAAACGCAATGCAGCGGGCAAGAAGGCATATTTTTCAGTGCACAAGTTGAGTTTCAGTTGAATTCTGGCGAGAAATACGAAAAGAGAAATTATAGTAAAGACTTATCATAATACCTCGTTAATTAATATAAAATACTTTACAATACTTTTAACG